TATATATATATGCACACATATTTGGGTGGGGTACTGTATGCACGTAATGTGTATTATGTACATTATTTGTGTGGGGAGGGTGAGGGATGTTTATGATTTATTTCAGATCTAAGTTGTATTTTCTTTCGTTAAGTTCTTTCATTTGTTTTGCTTTAAGTTGTTGTTTTACTCTTTGTTCATAAGTTCTTTCATTTGTTTAGCTTTAAGTTGTTGTTTTACTCTTTGTTCATTAGTTTAAGTTTGACTGCACCACTTTCTTGTGTGCTGCCACTGATGTAAAAGTGTTAATGTCAATAAATATTATTATTATTAAGCACCATCGTTTGCAATTGCGCCCTCAATTTACTCAGAAAGTTCAGTACAGTTAAATACCCGTATGTTGAAACTCGAGCGTTGCGGTGTTTGGGTGTAATGTACACGATTTTAATTTTCATTCCTTGGTACTTTATTTTTGAATAAGATGCTCCACTTGGCCTCATTTTCGCTACAATAGTTTAATAATTGGTTATTACCATTACTCATTATCATTAATGAAATAACAGTCAGCCAGATAACACAGAAGCATATAAAAGTAAATCAAAAGTCATAAAGTAATACAGGACTTCGTGTTCGTTTTCTTTTTTGATCTCATTTCTCTTTTTCCATTGTAGCATACCTTTTACAAAATTTGTCAAATTTTTCTTCAATTTCTTTTGGAAGATTTAGTGAAAAAGAGCCAAGAACATACATTAACTTCTGATCGGTTGTTGAATTTATAAATTGGTTCCAAATAGGCCTATTTGTATTTACTACTTCATGTTCAAGCTTTGCTAGTTCTTCCAATCAATCAATAATCTATATTATCTAAATACTAAATAATCTGAATATTTCTATATAGCGCCGCCGCGCGGACGGGGTAAAATTGCTCTCCGTGTACCCACAATACCTTTGGAACGGATGTTCCACTATGGGAAGCTGCTTTATCTTCTTCTGCTATTTAATTATCTTTGGTGTGTGAAAACTGGTTCTATTTAGGATCAGCTACATTGCTCTCCTCGTTCTTACCAAATTGTAGCTACAGTACTAGCAAGTAGGTAAATTGTGCAGCTGCACAATTCGGTGCTAAAAATAAAAACTAGGCCTAGGCCTACGTTAAGCATATATATTTCTGATTGAGCTAAGTCTAGGCCTAGGCTAGGCCCTATGCCCTATCTAGGTAGGAAGGTAGGGTAGGCATCCTAGAGGCTAGACTTAGGCCTGGGCTTAGCCCTAGGCCCAGTGGTGGCCGGGTTAGGGTGACAGACGATCGGGTCCATTTCCAGCCAGTGGGACCCAGCTAGTGTGGATTCTTGGGCCCCCTTTCATTCTGATAAATTTTTGCGTTCTAAATTTATTTAACGTAGACCTAGGCTACCTAGCCTGGCCCTAGGTAGGGATGTTAAAAAAAAATTTGATTGGATGTCCACAATAATACTAATATCACAGAATCTACCAAGTGTTATAACATTAAAAACGTTTACAAAATTAAATTTGGTTGTATGGTTGATTTTTAATTATTTTGTAAAATATTTAATTGTGGCAAAGATTTATGGCTACAGGTGTTATATAAATTTTGTGACCTTTTTACTAATTTATGTCATTAAATCACCATAACTTTGTTGTGTTTAATAGATTTTCAATTATTTTTTCACAGATGCTAGATGAAATGATAAGAACTCCAAATACATAATTAGAAGCCACTGGGGAGGGAAAGGGGATTCAGGGCCCCCTCCCCTGAAAACTTCATAATGTATTTTTTGAGATTTAACTCTAAAATCGATTAAATAAATTTTTACAAATCCCCCTGCTTCACTTTCTCCAGGGAAATCGGACTCGCTCCCCGCGGGCAAACTATGGCAGCCACACTGATGCATATCAAGTTTCAAGCAATATACAAAACTGAAATATTAATATTCTCATTGTGTACACTGTACTTTGAAAAAAAAAAATTAAATTAATTAGGTACTGTTTATTGATTTGGTCTAATAATTTGTACTAAATAATAGACTCTATAAATGCATTTTTTTTGACTAATTTATTATTACTACAGGGGTATTATTATTTTAAATTGTTTAAAAACTATTACTCTAGGCCTATGCAACACCAGGATGTTTGTGCTCTATATTCCTGTCAACAACACATGTCATCCAATCAAAGTTCAAATTCTAGGTCATGTGATGTACACAGAACAATTACAGGCCAGAATTGCCTAATAAGACCAAAGATACTAGAAATACAAGATAGAGTTCTCGCATTGTAAAATTGAGGCGGAAGTCGTGCCCAACGTAGGCGGCGCCCTTCTTTTTAACCATGCAAGTTTCCTATACTTCGTGGCCAACGTACAGGGCGCCCTTCTGTTGCTAAGTATATCCAGACGCAAAAGGCGCCCTTCCTTTTCCACTAATGGAGGAAAACTTTTTCACTAAGAGTGCGTCCGGCCATGCGATTCTGCGCTGTATTGACTTCTGTTTTTCAGATGATAGTAGATGCAAGATTGTGATGTTAAGTCAATTTCAATCTAACATGAGAATAAGTACTCCACCAAGGAGGTTATGTATTCACCGATGTCACTGTCTGGGTGTCTATTTCAGTTTGTTTTTATATCTAGTATCTTTGTTGAGAATTGATAATAAAATACGCGACGACTTGGTAACGAAAGTTTGGCAAGTTTTTTTAGATCCAGCTGTAGGGGGCGTCCAATTTTTCGTATTCCCACCATGCATTTCGGTGGAACACGGTGGAACACTTTTTTTGTGTGGAGAACTCTATCTTGTATTTCTAGTATCTTTGATAAGACGCCATATGCAATTTCGTGACGGTAATTCTCAATTATACTCGGGTATATTAATCGTAAAATATTCTAATAAATCAAAATCTTTAAAAATATTCTATAATATAATACTCTTAATCAATGATTATATTGGACATATTCATCAGTAATACAGACTTTATGTGTAATTTTAATAACAAATATGCCGTTTAAAACATCCTCCAATGTACACAATTACACAAATTCTTTCGATGAGCAGACATTTTTATGACTCAAGAGTTGCAAGATTTGAGAAAATCAAAAAAATTGTTGGTATCCATCAGATCTAATCCATACTTGGCATAGATATTAAATATATAATTTTTTAACTAACAGGATGGTTTTTATAATTTACAGTGCTTACAAATTATGTGTAAATAATGCTTTATTTCAAAGAAAAACTTCCGTAGCTTTGCGACCAATCAATGAAAAAATATTTTTAAAAAGCGCAAGTAAATTTTGACTTGTTTACTTTATAAATAAGTTCAAAGGTTAGCGAATGCAACCAATAAGCGATTTAATCCGATTTTTTTCTAATCTGGATGCAAGATGCAGAACCAAAACAATCAGCATCGGCGTCGCGACAATGATCACAGTGCATGACGTCACTCTTCTAATATACCTACCTAGCCTAGGCTAGGCACCACATGAGAAATACAAAGTTAAATATAAAAAAAAAAATAGGACAAAAATCATAAAAAACTTTATTTATTTGAGGAAAGTTGAGCCGCTGGTTACGGTTTTATAAACAAATTTTGAAGTTTCTGAGCGTGTGTATAGCAAGTTGCATGTTGACAATAATACTTCTGTCACTTTTTGCCATATATTTCTGTTAATTTTTGTAAATGCTAAAAAAATAGTGTACATTTTGATTATAAATTTTTACTGCAAATTACATTGGTCATGTAGCTTTAATACACAACGACCCGAAAATTTCTAAATTTTTCAAATTACCTTTGACCCACAATTTCGAAAAAAATCAAAATGGTACACTACTTTGACCCCTGAGTGATCTGACTGACCAGACTGACCAGAAGAAAACGTCTCAACCAATCAAAAAACATTTTATATGAATATTTTCTTAAGGCCTTTGTTGACAAAAACACGCTTGGCTGAACTGGGTTAATGACACTAATTAAAGTGTGTGACGTCACGCATCGTGTGGTGCCTACCTAGGCCTAAGGCCTAGGCCTACAGATATATTATGAATATTCGTAATTAAAATGATCATATTTATTTATTTTTTTATATATTAATTTATTTTGGTAGGCCTAGGCCTATATCATCAAAAATAAAAGGATACAAATGACCGTCATCAGCTGATTTGATTTTGCCTGCAGTCTGACAATTGGGCCCACGACTATCAGGCTGATTTCCAGACTATCAGGCTAATTTTCAGGATTTCAAACTGGGCCCAAATGGGAAATGGGCCCGATCGCCCAGTTAGCCTAGGCTAAATAAGAGTAGGGTAGGCTGGGGATGCGGTGACAGACGATCGGGTCCAGGACGATCAGATCCATTTCCAGGCGATCGGGACAACTAGTGTGTACGATTGGTCACTTGCCAAGACTATTTGGTACACCTAGGGCCTAGTGTGGATTATCGGGCCAAATTTCATTCTGATTCATTATTATTGCCATTTTAAATTTGTTTAACACATGGATATTATTATTAAGAATCGTAATTAAAATGAAAATAGCCTATTTAGGCTAGGCCTAGTTATTTTATTTAATTAATTTCGGTATATCAAACATCAACAAATGCAAACGACCATCATGAACTGAAATGCTTTTGCCTACAGTCTGACAATCGGTCCCGTTTGTTGACTATCGGGGCCATTGTCATTACTATCTTTCAAACTGGGCCCTATCGTCAAGAAAATGGGCCTGGTCGTCTGGGCCTGATCAGCTTTGAGCCTGATTGTCTGTAATTCCTAGGGAAAGGCCTATGTCTAGAATTAGCCTAGTCAGAGCTATGCTTTAGCTCAGCGATGGCTCCAGAAATTTTCCAACAAGGGAAGGGACAAGTCTCCCAGTAATCGGGACGACCTCCCGCACTCACGCAAACAAGCAAGAATCTCCTGAAAAATCGCCCATGTGACGCAAATTTGTACTGTAATACAGGTCTCTCTCCAATTAAAGACCACATTTGGGACCGGAGTTTCCATGGTTTGTAGCAGATTTGGTCTCTGATAACAATAAAAGACATTGTGAATTTGGGACCATAGATAGATGGTCTTTAATTTGAGGGGTCTTTAATTAGAGCTGACCTGTATTTGTATGTTTTTACTACTTCATTAATTGTCACATGGAAGTTGGTGCTGATGAAGAAAGAGAGCTCATTTTATCAGATCTTCCTTAAGCGATTTCTTCCAACTTTGGACCCCTGGTTTGTATGGCTTAGTATGGTCCAAACTGCTTTTAGATCACAACTTCAGTGATTGGTAATCAAAATAACATTATTTGGATAGGAAAGTATTATATTTTTAACATTTGGTCTGACAACCTCGTCGTGGCGTCTGTTGAAAGTTGGTCAGCCCTGATAGTAAATTTTGAATTTTAATACAGTAAATTACATTTACTCTCTGCAAACACAAAATAGTATACTGTAGTTGTTCAATTAAACTATGTTTATGAAACTCCACTGTGAAAGCCAAGACTGTGATTGATACTGATACAATTAACGATTTAGTTACGATTTCATAATTTATATGTTGTAACTCATACATGATGTATTAAAATTCAGAGTCAAATCAGTCACTTCTTTTGTTTTTGCATTGATTCAAGTGTGCACAAGGCCCATCGCGGTGTACAAATTATGTTCCATATATGTTCCATATTAGGGTGATTATGAGATTTGCTTCACCATTCTTCAGAAAAAGAAAAAATTGCGGCCCGGCCTATCCTGATTCCTAGGCTACTAACAGTGCTAGGCTATATTACAACAACATTCCATGCAATCTCCTGGTCTCTGTCAATTCTTTATTTCACTAAAATCATTCCCAATTATCAGGAAATGCTATGCATCATTGCGTTTCATTTGCCAGCTTTTCTAACTCTTGGTTTTATATTAAGTTGGGTACGAAAATTTGGTAAGAATTGATCAGCGTGATGATTGCAAAAATAAAAAAAGAAAAAAAAATTATGCGCTTCAGTAATCCATTAAAATGTGCCCTCTAAAATGCTCGCAAACGCACATACCCACCTCTCCCCCCCCTCCACCCAATTTTACCAAAATAATCAGTAATGTTGTGAATGGTACACTGATCCAAACTTTCTTTCAGAATGGGTTTAGCAGAAGTGGTTCTGGTTGTGTGTGTTGCACTTGTTGGAATCATTTTGAATTTTTCCGTTCATAAAATTGAGGAAGGTAAGATTGTGTCTGATGAAAACTAGAAAATCCTTTAAATTTCAATTTACCAGTAAAGGAAAATGAATATTTGGTCATTGAAAATGATCAGATAACAGTTTTAATGATTTTTATATGAACATTCCATTGCCAGGACAACCATGTTCTCTATCAAGTTGACAGAACAGTTAAAAATGTCATTGATGTAAATAACAATAGTCCATGAATGGAGCCTTGTGGTACTCCATACTCACTGTTGCATACAGTACTCTAAATTTAGTGTTTTCAAGGAAAGTGTATTGCCTTCTTCTGCAGACGTAGCTCTTAAACCAGTGCAGAGCTGTACCCCTGACACCATAATGTTTACATTTTTTGAAGTAGGATTCTGTGATTGATTGTATCATAGGCTTTGCTTAGATCTATAAATATCCCAATTACATCCCCTTTATTAATGTCATTGTCATCATTGATCTTATTAACCAATTTGAGAACATCCATGAATATGGAGCTCTGTGTTTGAAAACCATATTGCGAACAATGAATAATTCAATGTTTCTGTACTTTGCCATAAAAGTCTGTTATACACAATATGTTCAAGAATTTTAGATAATGTAAGGAAAACGGATATAGGCCTATAGTAATACTGTTAATATGTCTATGACCACTTTTATGTATTGGGACAACCCTGGTATCTTACTGTAGCTAGGTCAGGGACTATGCCCTTTTTTAAGAGAAAGATTTATAATGTAGCACAATGGAATAGATAGGGGGTAAATAATATGTTTAATGATTTTGTTGTTAATATCGTCAGCTCCTTCAGTATTTGACAATTTCAAACCTATGACAAATTTTATAATTTCCTCAGGGCTTGTAGGTTAAATATGAAAAATGAATTACTGCTTTTAATTCATATTGCTGCTCGGAATAGCTTTAGCCATTGTTTAAATTGTTAGGATTGTTAAATACCATCTGTCAATATGGAATAACCATAAAAAATACATAAAAGCACGAATATTTAATTATTAAATGAGTTGAGTGTATAGATAATAATAGTTGGAACACAATGCAGTTTAAAAATGTTCCAACTTACTCCTTTAGTACTGTAAACCGCTAACATCATCAACTGACAGTGACAAGCTTCAACATCTTCATCACCATCATAATAATCATTGTCATCAACATCATCATCACCATCATAATCATCATTGTCATCAACATCATCATCACCATCATAATCATCATTGTCATCATCACCATCATAATCATCATTGTCATCAACATCATCATCACCATCATAAACATCATTGTCATCATCATCATCATCATCACCATCATAATAATCATTGTCATCAACATCATCATCACCATCATCATTGTCATCATCATCACCATCATAATAAATATTGCCATCAACGTCATAATAATCATTGTCATCAACATCATCACCATCATAAACATCATTGTCATCACCGTCATCATCACCATCATAATCATCATTGTCATCAACATCATCATCACCATCATAAACATCATTGTCATCATCATCATCATCATCATCATCACCATCATAATAATCATTGTCATCAACATCATCATCACCATCATCATTGTCATCATCATCACCATCATAATAAATATTGCCATCAACGTCATAATAATCATTGTCATCAACATCATCACCATCATAAACATCATTGTCATCACCGTCATCATCACCATCATAATCATCATTGTCATCAACATCATCATCACCATCATAATCATCATTTTCATCAACATCATCATCACCATCATAAACATCATTGTCATCATCATCATCACCATCACCATCATAATAATCATTGTCATCAACATCATCACCATCATCATTGTCATCATCATCACCATCATAATAAATATTGCCATCAACGTCATCATCACCATCATAATCATCATTGTCATCAACATCATCATCACCATCATAATCATCATTGTCATCAACATCATCATCACCATCATAAACATCATTGTCATCATCATCATCATCACCATCATAATAATCATTGTCATCAACGTCATCATCACCATCATAATCATCATTGTCATCAACATCATCATCACCATCATAATCATCATTGTCATCAACATCATCATCACCATCATAAACATCATTGTCATCAACATCATCATCACCATCATAAACATATTGTCATCAACATCATCATCACCATCATAATCATTGTCATCAACATCATCATCACCATCATAATCATCATTTTCATCAACATCATCATCACCATCATAAACATCATTGTCATCAACATCGTCATCATAATCATCCATTAAATCTTGATGTGACAGACTTTTAGTCTTTCGCAAGATGTAACCACATAAAACGTAAATGTAAACATTGTTGTCAACATCACATCATTTTATTCAGGAATTAAATTCACAAAACATTTCTTAATACAAAACAAAGAACAGATATATAATGAAGAACAACTGACATTATTTCCTGTGGTAACCCAAAAATATAAAACCTGATTTCCATTGGGGTCCTTAATTAAGCAAATGTTGAACAATTCTAAAATGAAAGACAATAAACAATAATATAGCCTATATTGATTAAAGTTTAAAATATCATCACCATCATTGCTGTCGTTGTCATCATCTACAACCTCTATCATTATTATGCAACTGCAAAAATCTTTCATTATCAGTGCTATTCTTAAATTTAAACAGATTCAATTAAGTTATTAATTTAAGACAGGATTAAAACAATTTTTGCTACTTTATGGCTTTTACTACAAAAATCATGAAATTGCACAATATGTACTATAAGTCTGCCATTATTATTATTATTATTATTATTATTATTATTATTATTATTATTATTATTATTATTATTATTACTATAATAAAGGCAAACACATTCAAGTTTAAAATATCTGTACCTTCTTTTCTTTCAGGTCATACAGGTGTATATTATAGGGTATGTATCAACATTAGTATGACAACCATTAGAGAAATCTGACAGGTTACTGTAAAAGGGATGGTAGTACAGCAAATACCTGTATTAAGGCTTACAAGCATAGAAATTAGAGGTGTAGAATGCGGGAATCAAATTGACACACTCTGGGGTGTCACTGTCACCTATGAAATGCACAAATTAATATGAAAGTCACAGATGAACAATTTGGATCGAAGGTCTAATGTCTGTCCAACACAAGTTCACAAACAAATTACAAATAACTTTTTAAGTTTAACAATAAATAAATATTTATTTCTTCTAAAACAATACTCTTCTCAAACAAACAATAAACAATACAAACAATACCAACATCATAAATCATTCAATTAACAATACTTATAATTCATAAATGGCATTACACAATCGGAAAAATTGCTACCAAAATCTGCATGATTTTGTCCACTACTATATCTAGATAGCAATTACTAAAAACTACCAGTATAATTAATATAGCATAGTATCGATTTAATTATACTGTAGTAAAGACGAATGTTCTCGTGATACTATACGTCCTTATTGCAATCGCTGTGTTCCCACATGAACGCAACTGATTCAATGTGTAAGTATCCGCTTTCAATAACAGCTTCCAATTCTTGATGAGTATAGGTAGCTTTGGTTTACCATACGCTTCATCATTAGCTTAAAAGGTTCCATACAACAATAACCAGTAGCTCCCAAATGGAAAGTTAGGTGACACTGTATTAAAGCAAAATATTATGCATAAAAACAATGATGTCTTATAAATCATCCAACACGTTAAATCTATATATATACATACACATACATATATATATACACACATATACATACAGTATATACACATATATATGCATATATACACAATATATGCACAGACATATATAGGCAACATATATATAGATATAATTATACATACATCAGTAATACACGTTAATGTTCCACATATATATTAACTTCTAATAGTTTTCAGATTATAATCCAAGTAATGGTATTCATTATAATCAATTTCTAAATTTCCATATTATTCAAATACTCACAATGTCCACTACCATACTGTAGGTTAACATAGACGAGCTCCACCACATTCAGCTGTGAGCCTTGTCGGAGTCTCTATCCTAACTCGCCCCATTCCGTCGGTTTATAACTGAACAAAAACCACTTTATCACGGTTCTACCAACTGTGTAAATTCACAAAGATCTAGGCTTGTGACTAAACAATACATAACATAGATACCATTTAAGTTAATATTTAACACTGAATTATGGTTCTCACTTATTATATGGTAACGGTTATATCATATAGATTATACAACAATGTAATTCATAGATAAATAATGGTTGCGGATACTATTTAAATGTATCAGTAATCAACAAATAAAATGTAATTTTACATGACTGTGACCGCACTAATCCCGATACACTTGACTACTCATCTCAAGTCAAAAATGACAGTCTGTGTCAACAACATACCTGAGGATAAATATCCTAATCTTGCAAATATTATCAAAAATAATCAAAGGCTGTAACATATTGAACTAATTATGAATCGATACAAAATAACAACATTTAAGTGAATTCTTATACAAATACAGTAGAGGCTCCTATTAAGGGGACACCTTCGCAACCAAAAAGTCTCCCCTTAATGGGGGTATTCCTTGAATAGGGGTTGGACAGAGTGTTTTGAAAAATATACTTTCATTTTGTGATAAAAATAGTTTCACCTTAATTTTAGGGTTGTTCCATTATGAGGTGTACCAGAGGAGGGGGGTTTTACTGTACTGCAAGCAGTATTAACACAGGTTTACAAATTATGCACTTTAATTAATGCTAAAATTACTGTTAAATTCTATTTACAGGGAGGAGCTTTATTGCAATCCACTAGTCAACCTGGATTTCACATTATGGTGCCATTTATCACATCATATAGGAGTGTGCAGGTAGTAACAGTTGGTTAACATATTATTACATTATAAAAGAAGTTCCAATGACCTCCATCATCACCCTAAACTATCATCAACCTCCACTGTCATTGTCAACTGCCAAAAACCTCATTATCATTATATTTTAGCAAGCTTAAAAATTCATAATATTATTTTATCTTGTTTTATCATCATCATTATCATCATCCTTCATTCAGCATTAACTTGCCAAGTAACTTTACCGATACCTAACAACCACTTCTGCCTTTATCATCCATCATGAAAACCTCTCAAATGTCATCCTCCATTATCTACTGTGAACCTCCATCATCAAATGCCATTCCTCCATCAATATCAACTGTCAAATTCAACAACTGCCAACCTCTGTCATCATCATCATTATCATCATCATCATCTTTATTACCATCACCATCATAAACTGCCAACCTTTATCTTTATAAACTGCCTACCATTCTTTATCAATAGGCATGAGCGAACCCACTTGCCCGACGCCTGGTCGGACAACAATAATTTTAGGGACTACATGTCCGTGGACAAGCACTTTTAGAATAGGCTACTTCACCATGTACTTATAAAAAGTAAAGATTGAAAATGAATTCTTAATTGTTAAATGTTGGCCAGATCTGTCGTAAGACCTACAGCAGGCACACATTTTCGCACGATATCAAACCTGTTAGCTGTCAGCAGTCTGGGCTTGCTGCACGTGTTCTGTTTACAATATAAATTCGCACTGGTCTAGTCTATATATACCAGACATATTTAAAGACTTTGGGCACACAGCCATTAGTTGATTAGTTGAGTTGGACAACATGAAATGTCTGGACTTCAAGACTAGTACAGTAATTACTTTTGTGTACGAATATGAACAGCAGCGATTAGGCCGACTTCAAAAAAGGCCTAGTCTATTTCGTTTGCGCGTGTGGGGAAGACAATCTAGACAAACTAAGAAAAGGTAGTTAAATTGGGATTTAAAGTTGTTAAAGTAATCAAGAAATCATTCACTTCTAAGTGATGGCGACAATGTGCATATAAAATCCAAATCTTGTAAAACTGGAGTTAAAAGTTGAGGGGTTAGGGCCTATAAATGAATAATTTCCCGTCTCAAAAATTTCGCCATCTCGGAGGGATTCGTCCCGTTGGCCCATCCTCATAGTTATATTAGGCTTACATTACAGTACTTGTCTTTCGTTGAGAGGTAATTTTATTTATTTTGCAATAAATGAAATGAGGATGTGTGAGACTGTAAAATATTTCCCGCGTAAAATATTAGGCCCAGAAATCCGTCGCCGCATTTCAAAAATATGAGCAGATTTCGACAGATATTTTGCATAAAATTGAGGCCTTCATAGTAGGAACACAAGTATTTAAGATTCTGTGCATCTATTTTTCTAGATGTTTTCCTGTGCAATTTGAATTTGTTTGTATACTCCGGAAAAAAAAAAAAAATATTTTGAAGTCAGTATTATAATTGATTAAGATCTGCAAACGGGTACAAACATACGATATGGCCACCCCCTTCCCCTTTCTCGAAATACCGTCATAAAACACAGTCCTCTCAGTCTTTGGCTAAGAAATCGTTTATTGTGGGAATCAACCATGCCTGAGAAATGTTTACTTTTAAACACACAATAAGAAAACGATCAACACACTCCTACATACATAGAATATTGTTAATAATGTTTATTTTTTTGAAATTCTCTATATTATACATTATTGAAATTCTTGCAAATTAAAATAAGAACAAAAATAATGTTTGCCTGATCAAAGCAGTGTGCATTTTTCAAAGGTACTTGTCCAGGTCAAGTAAAAATTTATGAATTCCCTCATGCCTGTCATCTACTGATATCCTCCTTTATCAGCTACTGCAGTCCTTCAACATTATCAACTGCCAGCCTCTGTCATCTACAGTACCTGGTAGGTCTATCCATGGAGGTATACCTATATGGTCTGTCTAGCATAAATAAAGAATTGACTAAAATGAATGTGTAATCGGTATAAGGCCTAGCAAAAAGCAAACACAGCAATAAATTATTTAAAAACGTTTAATAATTCAAGTGCAATGTACAACTCATCTAAAGCATGATGAATAATTCATTAGTGTTTCAGGCCGACTTTGACAAGTAAAGTCTGGTTTTCTTAAAATTGCTACACAGTCGCTACACTGTTTTCAGTGTAATTGTTGTACTGCGTAGCAGTTCCCGACACAATCAGGAAGGATCACTGATTCAACTGACCAATCAGCATCACCGAAAGGTGTCGGCGATAGAGTGTAGCGATTGTATGGAAACCAAGCTTTTGCAAATTTTTTGCTAACCCAAACCCAAATTGTACCAGCAGTATGTTGTTCAAAACTCTATATTATTCATTAATTTGTAGGCCTATTTCCAAATACAATGTGTAATGTCATATTGCAACCTGGGTATTCATAACGCATGTTTTATTTAATTGCATATTGTTAATATTTCACAATACCATGCATGTTGTGAATTATGCATACTGTAGTCACTGTTATTCATTGTATTCATGTTCCTTGCACTAAATTTATTCATGGAAAAATAAGCAACTCAATTAATCTAGTTAAAAGTTATGGCACTGATAAGAAATTAAAATTTGCAACAATTTATCATTTTTGCAATAAACCTACATTTTTGTCTTATTCACATGAATTCAAATAGGCCTAAAAATTATCTTTATCTCTTTTTTGTGAATATTGGGCCAATTATTGTTAATTTATGTTCTATTTTATTATTATTAATTGTTATTCTTAATATCATTAATTAACCATAGACTTAAGGAAGAACAACATATATAATTTTTATTTATTTATTTGTACTAAACAACAGCGATACCAACCGCCACTAACAGGTTAAAATACATAAAAAATATGTCAATAGATATAAAATATGTCAATAGATATAAAATACATTAAAAAGTACTAAAAACTTTTGATTTAAAAACTTTTAAACTGTCAAAAAAAAAATAGAACAAAATTCTTTTTGATACTGTATTTTGTGTGTTGAATTTGGGTTTTAACCGTGTATAATTAAAGAGATTATTATTATGTTTTCTTGAGTCATACCGGTAATAGGATGCCCTGTAAGATCATACTCTTAAAAATATCCCTCATGAACCAACACCCTTGCCCCCAGTAACTAAGTCAGCTATGGGGATGTCTTCTGTCTCAAGTGAATATTTTACTAATAACAAAGCAGAAAAGCCGGCTCTGCATGATGGAAGTTTTAAGTCTGTACGGGCACTATTACTCGCATATATAATCCTTATATCCAATCTACGGAACTTAAATTTTGTAAAAGTATGATACAGTATATACATATATTGTTCTACGTATTTTCATGACAATAAAATAGCTATATAATTTTGTATCTGTATAATAATACATTAGTAATCAGTATTTTGGCCCCGAAATCTAGAGACAGAAATACCAGAATGGTATCTGAAAGGAACTATTGATTACTTCAGTAAAATAGTAATTAATTGTAAATAATTTGCTTCATCATTTTTTTGGCCCTGAATTCTAGCAAAATGCTACCGAAGGCTATGTCCTCCATCATCAACTGACAACCATCAACATTATCAACTGCCAATTGTCAAAATGATAACTTCTATGGTTATCTACTGCTAATCAATATTTAACTACCAATCAAGTGCTGTAGCGGCGCTACAGGGGGGAAATGTCCCTCAGATAACTTTCTTTCCCCCTCCTGCCAGTCATATCAATTGCTGTAATGAAGTTGACGCAGGGCGGTCGTGTATCCAGTAGTAGTGCCCCTTCCCCTTTCCCTTTTTTTTTTTTTCTGGCACCACCACTGATCAAGTGGCGGCGCTCTTGATCAACTGACAATATCTTTCTAAGAATTAGCATTCATCTTGAGGTTTTTTTTTAAAAGTATTGTAGCAGAGCATTACATCTTATTTATCTTTTTACATTATTTAGACTACATTACAAACAGATGAAGTGAAAAATGTACCATGTGGAACAAGGTATCAAATTATTATTATTATTATTATTATTATTATTATGTTACTAAAACCTACCTTAAGGGGAACTTAGACAATTGAGAAATTAGAGAACAATTAAAAAACGACGTTAAGTGGAAAATAACACAAAAGATATTCCCCTTAAGTCCGACTTAGCGCATATTATTATTATTATTATTATAATTATTATTATTATTATCACCTTAATCCTTCAATAATGATACACTTACCCCTGCTTTATGTTGTATTAATTGGTGATATGTTAGTTCCTCCTTGATATTTTAATTCTTTCCTCACATTGTATATGAAATAGAAATAGTGTTTAACTTTGAGACAACAAGTAAGGCGAGACTTTCTTTATACCTTGTTTAGTGAACCTGCCGCCCACCAATAATGATGATTTTGAATAAAAATAAAAAAATTTTTTTGGCAAATTAGCGCACCTGTTTACATTCACCAATAAAATGTTATTTTTATTTTCTCCTCCATCTGGATGTTTTTAGCAAAAATACTTGCTGAATAAGAAAACAAAATTTTATTTTTATTTTTTTTCTGCGATCTTTAAAAAATATAAGTTTGCGAAACAAGGTATAAAAAAAGCCTCACTTAAACTTTAGTAATCTTAACTAGTACAGTCCTTTAAACAAGAGATTGAAAACTAATGATGAACATGTTATTGTACTTTAGTGGTGGAGTAATGATATACTTTGATAGAATAGAGGTCGTTAATCTACTCTCTGCTGATAAAGGTTAGTAAATATGGAAACACATTAATTTTAATACCTGTTGTTATATTTATTATTTTTTGAAAATTCAAATTGTTTCAATTAAAAAATATATTTAGCGATTAAGAGCTCTATGTATGTGATCAGTTTTAGTGACAAATTTAATTCAGTGGCAGTGCCAATGGGGGATAAAGGGGGAACAGGATCACCTGTCGAGAAACCCTGTACCCCTGTTAAGGAAGCCAATTTTTCTTCAGGGAACACTTCTTTAAAAAATCATGTTTCATGAAATTCGGCTAAGGACTTGGACCTCTTGTCAGGGAGCTTGGTCACACCTGTTGGGAACGTTGGACCCCATGGCAAGAAGATGTTGGGCACCGCCACTGATTCAGTTGAATGTTGAATTGATCATTTATCAAATATATTATCAGCTTGAAATGAGAGATGGATTAAAACAATTCATTTATTTTCTGATTTAGAAAACTTTTTACAAAAGATTTTTAAATTGACTACCAGCCAATTTAAGCATCTATATGAAAATGTAAAATAATGTTATTTTCCAATTAAATGTAATTGCTTGATTAGCATGAAAAAATATTGTTTTATTTTCCAATTGAATTCTAGTATTAACATTTTTAACTTGGGATTTATTTGATTGGTTGGCTTGTATTTTAACTAAAATCCATTTTCCACTAGTGTATGACGTTGTCAAGAACTATACGGCTGATTATGACAAGGCATTAATATTCAACAAAGTCCACCACGAATTAAACCAGTTTTGTAGTGCACATAATCTGCAAGAAGTTTATATTGAATTGTTTGGTAAGACTTTGTTTTTTTTTTTGTCGCTGCTGTTGCTTTTGCTGTTGTGGTTGCTATTAATAATTGTATTATTATTATTGTTTTTATGTTATTATTATGGAATCTTTTATAATTGTGTAACCCTCTATTTTATCATTCAGATCAAATTGATGAAAATTTAAAGAAGGCTCTACAATTAGATTTAGTTGAAATGGCACCTGGAATTCTTATTCAGGTAAAAAAATATTCGCACTTTTTCCCCATTTCACCAGCCATATTATTTTGGACAGTCAAATTGACACATACCATACTGGAGCCCAGTAAGTAGTGTAAATGTTGCGTGAGTGAGGGTAAAGAAATATCTAGCTTGTAAACATTTGTAAAATGTAACACTCAATCCCAGGAGGAGAATACAGTATGTGACAAAAGACTGCGAGTAAAAGTGCCTGCAGCGGGTAAAAATTATTAAGACCGTAACATTCTTCGACAAATCATACGATATTCAAGATCACAGCCACTTTGATCGTAGCGGGGCGACAGACCCCTCCCTCCATTATGGCAATTACTGGCGCCACCCTTGTGATAGTTCTTTCTTATTTAAGTTTTAGTCATAGAACTATTAAAAGTGCAGATTCATAAACCATGGATAAAATGCAAGAATTAATTAAAAATTTTTAAGGATGGAAGTGCATTCAGGTATTGCATTTAACTAATCAGAACAATTCCAGTTTAGTTTATCATCAATGTACGGTAATTGATAATATATTTTTGTTCATTTTACAACATGCACCTCTTTACCATTGATCAGCAGATGTTCACGATATGCTTTGGTTTCCTGTAATCAATAATAATTTCCTTGGTTTTATCTATACAGTAGATGCTAAGTACAACTTTTTCAGAACACCAATAACATGAGTTAACATTTGTAAGCATTTACATCATCCTCAGTATTTAAACTTACTAAATAAGTGTCAACTTGCCAATTTGACCAGGAAGCTCGCCTTCTGCTGAGTTAAGGTTCAAAGTCTTTAGAATATAATGAGAATAGAACAGAAAGTGAACATCACTGAGAAGTACCATTGTTACTTTTCAGAGGACTAGAGAATAAAAAATTAACTAGACTTACTATGTCTGTTGTTAAAACAGAACATAGGTTTTTTTCTCATTGATATAATAAGACCTGATATTGAAATTAGTAAAAAGAAAGAAAGTAAAAACAAAAAAATATATATAAAAATTGCTCGACAAAAGACCCAAACCAACGCTACAGGTACAATGTTTTAGTTAGGGTGATAGAGAAAATTGTTCATGCATTGCATGGTAATTTTGCATTTAACCTAGCTGTAACTGGTTTGAAATGCTTTAGAAAATACAAATTACATTTAGTTTTAAATTTTAGTGAAGTTTAATTGAAATTTTATTGAAGTTTAATTACCCACTTAATCAATATTCAAAATTATGTAGAACAACATCATTTAATATGCACATCTTTGATATATTCAAATGAGTTGCCATTTACATTAAACTTTAAATACTAAAAAAGATATTTAAATTGATTACCAGCCAATTGGCGGGTAATCCAAACACGTAGGAATAGGCTGGTCAATCCAAACATGTAGGAATAGTAAAATTGAAATTGAAAGGAAACTAAATGGTAGAAATAACTTCCATGCTTAAATATACAAAGTAAGCAAAAAAATGTTGGATTTTATTGTTCATATTTATTAGTTCACATTGACAGTATACCTTTAAGATAGTGTAATATGATTGGTTAATGGACCTTTTGCTGAGCTGAGCCTCTTTGGATATTGTTGTTAAGGTACCACAAAACAATAGTGTAAACGTACTTAAACCCATGCCTCTGTGGGACAACAAGTGTATTTGTAGGTCACGCGTGTACTCCTGACTGTGATGATTGGTCAGTTGTCTCTGGAAAGGTCAATTTGTTGTTGTTGTTATTGCAGGCTGTTCGTGTGACAAAGCCAAAAATTCCTGAGGTTATTCGCAAGAATTATGAAATGATGTAAGTTTTAATTATCAAACTAAATAATAATTAGGGTAATTTAATTATCTTTGTTAAATTATAATTATACAAGTTTCCCCCCAAATTAAACCATCAACGTAAATGAATGAATTTAATGAAAAAATAATTAGAACTTTGTTGGCTTGAAACAGGGAACATGAAAAAACAAAACTTTTGATTGCTCAACAACATCAGAAGGTGGTTGAAAAGGAGGCTGAAACAGAGCGGAAGAAGGCAATCATTGAAGCAGAGAAAGCAGCGCAGGTTGCCAAGATTCAACTAGAGCAGAAGATTATGGAAAAAGAGAGCCATAAACAAATATCTGAAATTGAAGGTATTGTCTACAAAATGAACTGAAGTGTCCCCATGCATTTTAATTGTTAACTGTTTTCATGAAAATGTGCAGGATATAAATATAAGGGTTTCAATCCTTTGCTGTGCATTTTTCTTTAGTCCTTATGACACTTTATCTGTGGAGTTGCCTGCTACTTTGCTGATAATGCAGCAACATGTAAACATATGAACCCAATGACCAAAGATAAAAAAGTGCTTTGTAACTTCGAAGGAAGAAGTGCTGTAAAAGCAATCAATAACATGTAACAACTACATTGAAAGTACCCTCTGACTGACCTGATACTAAGTTTGAAAAAACATTTGGTTGATCACCAGCAATGTATAAACATATGGACCCAAAGACAAGAGATAAAAAAGTGCTTTCTAACTGTAAAAGCAATCAATAACATACAGCAGCTATATTAAAAGAACCCTCTGAACAATCTAATACTAAATTAAGTATTTTTACTGGAGTATAAATAAATTGCAGCAATAAATGCACATAGTAATTTCTTTGGGGTTGCTTCTCTTGTCCAGTAATACTTAATCTTGTGTTATCTTGTATTTACCATTTTGTTTTGTTACATATTCTTGTAGATACGTCAAATTATGCTCGAGTAAAATCACAGTCTGATTCAGACTTTTACAGAGCTAGTAGAGAAGCAGAAGCTAACAAGGTTGGTTGTTATCAGTTCATTAAGCACATACCTTATTATTGTCCCCCCCCCCCATTCACCACTACATTTTCACGCCGCACCTTTAGGCTGTAACAATCAATAGGAAACAGTCATTAAGAAACTGTAGGTAGCGGTAGCTTTTACTACGGAGAAATGGGAATTCTGAACTAAGCAATGCGCATGCGCAGTCACCAAATGACATTCGTGAATTATCTGTAAAAACACTAGATGCTAGACAGCCAGTCAGCATGCTATCAAGCCATGTCAAGCATGTGCAGTTACCAAAAAGACGTCTCGGGAACCAAGTAGCGGCTGCGAAGAAGGTATGAAGTAGAAACGGGAAAACTATATATGTTATGGATGGAAAATAATGAGAACTCGAGTGGGTCGAAAGCCTCTATTTTGGCTATCTTTACAGCCAGATCAGTGTTCGCCAGGGTGAATAAAGTATATTAGGCTCTATCGTCGTACCTACGTACGTAGACCTATGCATTGACAATCAAATAAAAAATAACCACAGAAACTGACGACACAACCTAGGGCCTACTACTAGTCAAGTAGTAGAGCCAGGGTATTCCACATTTAATGTCGAAAAATATGGTGCCTTACGCTGAAGCGGGTTAGGGTTAGGATAACTATTATCAAGATATCGTACTGTACCCATGTTTTATCGACCCATAAAAAATAGCCACACATTGGCGGCAGTAGTAGATAGGTCTAGCCAAGCTAGTGGGGAGGGTATACAAATAAATAAAATAACAATAAAATTAATATTAATATTAATAGCAATAATGGTAAAAATGCGGTTTGGCTCAGTGGTTTTCATTCTGGTTGTTGAACTTGTAGTCAGCAGGAGTACAAGCAAATATAAACAGTAACAGACTCCATGGTTGGCAAAACGAACAAGGGAAAACAATGTGAAAGATTAAGAGATGAGATCGATATTTATCAGGGAAGAGTGAAATGGTGCAACACAGCAAGAGAAAAAAGATTGATTTGGAGTCGACATCCTGAAATATTTGGCCAACAGTGGACCGACAATAGCTGATGATGAAGCCTCTGAAGGTTATCAACGTGGTCGAGCCTTGAGTCTAGGTGACAGCTTAATCTACCATATAGGATTACAACTCAGACAAAGTGGGGCCCAGCCGCAGGAAGAATCTTAAATGACCCGCCCTTTGATAATTCCATATTTGTTTGGATTATTTTATTTTTTTAACTTCAATTTTATTTTTAAAATAATCTTTAATTCATAATTACACAGTATTATGCATATTGCAGTAAAAAAAATTAGGCCTATCCTTAACAATAAATAAGCATAGGGCTATATTTATTGATCTATAGGAAAATACAATTACAGATTTATTTATTGAAACAGCTAACTTAAATACGATAACAAAATTTACACATATGATAAATTTGGAAGTACCTGTAGCTGTATACACAAATTGAATAAGCTACAGAAGTTGCAGCATTTTTTTATAGGAACTTTTTCCTGTTTAGTTTCATCACATACCAGGATTGGATTTTTTTTATTCTTCTTATTCTTATTCTTTATTGCCAGAAACACAACAACAACAAACACATAGAGTCAACTCAGGGAGTAGGCAGGAACCAAAAAGTGAACTAAATCACTGTAACAAAGTTAAGATTCCATACTCCCTGAGTAGCAAAACAGAACAATAAATATATAGATGTATACATATAAATAAATTCTTACGTCAAGAAATCAAATAATTAAAACAATAATGATCAAACAGTTACGCGGCGCAAAAGTAACTAAGTGGAGTGGCTGTAACATAAGACATGCGATTTAGGCGAGCGCAAAAAAGTAGGAAAGGAATCAAGGATAAGGGAATTTTTTATATTTTCAGGGAGTTTTTCCCAAAGTCTGGGTAACACATGAATGGCAGAAAGGTGAAGAGAGTTAGTTCGAGCATAAAGGTGTCTAAACAAAAGCGTCTCTCGATGGCGACTATTTACAAGTGTGAACTGACGGATGCTACTACAATCAACAACGCCAGTAAGCGACTTACAGACAAACGATAACAGAAGAAAATTTCTGCGAGCGGATAAACTAGGCCAGTTGAGTTTAATGAGACGATCTTCGTACTCACATTCGCCTTTTTTCTGCTTAAGGACAAGTCTAGTAGCCCTTCGCTGAACTGCCTCAATACGGTCTACAAGTATTTTAGTATTAGGCAACCAGGAAGGGACACCGTATTCAAGTATAGGAACAACAAGAGCTTTGTAAAGTGAGAAAATGGCAGAAGGAGAGGAGCCACCAGCAGTGCTGGCAATGAAACCCAGCATTCTGTTCGAACGGGAAATAATTTTGTTAACTTGGTCATCCCAAGTAAGTTTATAGTTAATTGTAACCCCAAGATGATGATTCAACACAGCATGTATAGGTGAACCAGCTAGATAATAAACTGGTCGATATTCTTTTTTTGAACGAGTAATGTGAAGAATTTTAGTTTTATTTAGATTAAGTTCCATTTCGTTTAAATCACACCAGGAAGTGAGACGATTTAAATCGGACTGGAAAGCAAGTTCGTCGTCAACAGAGAAAATATTTTTTGTAAATAATGGTATCGTCAGCAAACAAAGCGCAATGGGAGAGGAGAAAAGTAGGAAGATCATTAATGAAAAGATTGAAGATAAGAGGACCGAGAACGCTTCCTTGGGGGATTCCAGAAGAAACAGGGGAAGATTGGCTAGTGGCATCTTGGTACAGGACTCGTTGGGAACGACCTAAAAGAAAAGACTTGATCCATTTCCATACATTACCTCTAATGTTAAAATGAGTAGCTAGTTTATTTAACACAATGTGGTGGGGAAGTTTATCAAACGCTTTAGCATAGTCCAAAAAGACAACATCAATTCGAGGAGGCTTAGGTTTATCGAGGGAAGATGCCCAGGAATGTATCAAGTTTGTAAGTTGGGTAACACAAGACCGGGAAGAGAAAAATCCATGTTGAGAATCGCTGATTGGACAGCAATAAGCAACGTGATTGGATATACCAGTAAAAATTATTTTTTCAAGAATTTTGAAACAAAGAGGGGTAAGAGAAATTGGTCTGTAATTGCAAATAGAGGACTTGTCACTGGATTTATATATGGGAGTAATGTGAGAAACCTTCCAGGCAGTAGGGATTTTGCCCTTCGTAATTGACATGTTAAATAAGTTAAATAAGGGAGGGGCAATAATTTCTGAAGCGGACTTTAATATGAATGGATGGACAGAGTCAGGACCAGGTGATTTATTTGATGATAAGCCACTAATGACATTTTCGACAGTGTGAACATCAAAGTTAATATGAGAGAGTTCGGGAATGGGAACGTTACATGCAGGAGGATCGACACAAGGGGGAGTAGGAGGACCAAAGACAGAAGGTGAAGATACGTGTGAGCCATTAATGTTAAAGGACAGGTGAGCGTTTACGCTCTCTAATAAAGCGCCAAAAAGCTTGTGATCGCTGGTAAAAAGTTTGTTAACATAAGAGTAATACGACTTATTACACATTCGTTTAACTACGTTACGGATAGATTTGTATTCATTCCAAGCAGCTATTGAGCCAATGCGCTTAGCCTTTCTAAACAATCTATGTTTTTTATTAATGCATTTTCTGATGTCCCTGGTAACCCAAGGAGAATGTTTCCTCTTTTTACTGGATTTTAATGGAACAGAGTCGCGAATTATTGCAGAGAGGATGTCCAAAAATCCGTCCCATGAATTATCAACTGAGTTTTCATCCATGAAGACACTCCATGGGGCAAGGTGAATAAGTTGATTAAGATGGTCGATATCAGTTTTGTGATAAGCTAAAAAATTACGGATTAGAGATTTTGAACGCTTAACGGAGATTAAAATATTGAAGGAGATTGCAAGGTGATCACTCACAACTGGGTTATCAGTGACATTAAGAGAGCATAAACGTTCAGGTCTATTGGAAAAAAGAAGATCAATTATTGTACCAGTTGAGGGATCATGGGGGTTAGGCCTGGTGATTTCATTAACAACCTGTGAACAATCAAGTGCATTGATTGCGTCGATAAAATTATTAGGTTTAATATTTGCATGATTCCAATTTAAATTAAAGTCTCCGATATATATTTACTATCGTACTTAGGTAAATAAGGTAGTAAAAAAACAAGAAAATTATTACTAAAATCATTCCAAAATGATACAGGGGAATTAGGTGGACAATAACAAACAGCAAAGAGCATTTTACAATTACCAACTGAAATAGAAAAACATATAATTTCATGAGGTGTAGACTCGAGTTCATGACAATGAATTGGATTCAGTTCAGTCTTTATAGCTGCAAGCACACCACCTCCTTTCTTGGTAGATCTGTCTCTTCGGATTACAAAATAATGCCGAGGAAATCCTAAAGATGAAGTTAAGTCATCAGACGTGAGCCATGATTCAGTTATGGTTAAAATATAAATGCACTGAACAGAGAGAAATGCTTGAAGTTGGGTGGTTTTGTTCCAGAGGCTGCGAGCATTCATGTTCATACAGTTTATACTTGATGATGCTGAGTGATGATGTTGCTGTTGCTCCTGTAGTCAAGGTCCATTGTGTTGAGCAGGTCCAGGGTTAGGATGAATGTTGCCGTCACGTGACAGACTGTAGTAATGACATGATGCAGTTGAGTTTGAGTAAATGGCATGAGGGTGTCCTTGAAATTTGCGCTTGATGAACGGATGGTATAATGTATTTTGCAAAAAACATACAAACTGTACGCCCATATGGTTTAATAGGTCTTTAAACGAAGCAAGATGACACTTGTAAAAAATAAACTCACAGCTAGGATCACAATTCAGAGTGGAGTCACCCCTCATATATGGGGGTTGAGTAGATATAACATTGCGTCGTGATACCGCAATAATGTAAAATATATAATTGTCTTTAGTGCCACTGCCAGGTGGCTCCGAATGATTTGGTTTAACGGAGACGTCATAGAACAGGTGTGACGTGGTATCGATGGAATTATCAAAGTACAAAATACTGATGTCGCAGTCTGATACAAAAAGAGATTTAGAAACTGTAGTTACCGGATGATCAGCACTGTAAAGTTCACTGTTCACATAAATAATCATAGAGCAAATGGTAAAAGCGAAAAATTGAAGATATAAAAACTTGCACTTATCAATAGTAGTAAAACGACAGCAAAATGTACAAACGGCGAAAATATCAAAATACATACGAAATCAATTTCGTCAGGTGAAAATCGGGTACATTACAGTTAAGAACTTTGCAATTTAGTTTAAAACTTGTATTAAAACTGGAAAAAAGCGTCCAGAACCATTAAGGATTCTAGGCTCAGGGAGTGCCCATAAATCAGCAAGTGCTTCAGGTCAATGACCTCACAGTCATCCAAAAAATGTCTAGATCCGCTTATGCTGTTTGTAAGGGTTAGCATTCTAATGGACCTTTTCGCTAAGCCTCACCCCTTGGATATTGTTGCCAAGGTCTCACAATCGACAGTATAAAAACATACATGCACGTGCACACACGCATGCTTTTGCGGGAAAACACACGTTTATTCCACGCCCTCTTCTGATTGGTCAGTTGTTAAGTTTGATTGACACTCCGGAAGGTATAATTTACCACCAGTAGAAAGAAACCAGTTTAAGAGTCTTGATATCACCATCAAGCAATTACTTTAGATTCCTCCATGGTATGACCCACTATTTTTGTATGTATTATAATGAGATATATAAATATAAGTATATTCAACATAAAACTGTGCGTTTTAATGATGCACTGTCAAAAATACCTTAAAACTTCAATGAAAACCGGAATAGCTTATATAAAAGGATTAACTTCCAACCAGAAACAGATTGGGAAAAATAGTTTTTGCTGATTTACAAATCAATTAGGCCATTGTTATTTTGATTATTCTATTTAAATATTTAAAAACCAAATTGTTGAAATTGTATATTTGCTCTTGTTTTGCAGGTGAAACTAACGCCAGAGTATCTTGAAATGCTGAGATACCAAGCAATAGCATCAACAAGTAAGATCTACTTTGGTTCCGATATTCCTAGCATGTTTGTCGATGGTGGTGTAGCCAGTGCTTCTGCAGCAAAGGTAAGCCTCTCATTCTTGAATAATCGAGTAATATATCTTAGTTATGGTTATTTTTTCTTAATATAATCAGGTTTGCTGTATTTATTTATTAATATTACAATCCTTTTTTCCATTTCTGCTCTATTATTATTATTATTATTGGCGTAATAAACCTAACCAGAACAACAAACTCCAAACGCAAGTTGTCGGATTGAGAGCACATGTTTACGATGATAAATAAACAAGTGTGTTTTGTCAATAACTTATTAACATCGTCATGAAGGCTAGATGCAGTGGCGTATCTAGGGGAGGGCGGGAGACAACACACCCCCCAAAAATAAAGGTCAAGTAGTTAAAAATCACCTAAAATCACAATATTTTGCCAATTAACACCCCTCAACTGATCATTGTGGGCCTCCCCACTTCACCTTCGCGGCCACCATCACTCCCCCCCCCCCCAATTCAAGACTTCTAGACGCCACTGGCTCTAGATACGCCACTGGCTAGATGATCGCAAAATGAATGTAAACAACATAATTCAGCAATATAAAAACTAGACACACGGTAGAAAGGTCCATAAAACATACAGATGTTTTAATGAGAATTAAAACAATACTTTGTTGTTAAACGGGAGAATGCCAGCAAACAAAATGAAAACCAACAAAAGTTGGAACCATAGTTTTTTTTACGGAAACATTTTCAGTGTTGACCATGGGGGGGGGGGTCAGTGGACCGACAAATTTGAAGAACATACTCTAGGATGTACATTATGTTCTTTAAATTTGTTGGTCCACTGACCCCCTTGGTCAACACTGACAATGTTTCCGTAAAAAAAAAAACTATGGTTCCAACTTGTTATTGTTGTGTGTAACGTAAATGCATGACAATAAAAGCATTGCATAATAGCTACCAGTTTGATTGTAGTTCATTACTGTATGTTTCTGGGGCGGGTGCAGGTCTTGGGTCATTTAAAGAACATACTGTAGAATATACATAGCGGCAGTTTGGCGCAGTGGTTGAGGTTTGGGCTTTTAATCATAAGGTCAAGGTTTCTAGTCTCTGCTATTCAGGTTCGCTTGTGTCCTTGGGCAAGGCACTTTAGCTACATTGCTTTAGTCCACCCAGTTGTATCAATGGGGACTAACCTGCGATGGACTAGTGTCCCGTCCAGGGGGATTACAACTCTCATCCGCTTCACACTACAGAAACTGGGGATAAGCTCCAGCCCTATTGTCCCACCAAAGGTGAACTAAAATGATGAGGCATAATGGGGTAACAGACAAATAATAATACGATGCAAAAAAAGTTAGAATATAAAAATAAAGCCTTTAATTAATGTAATTAAAAATGCAACTTCTCTTGCCCTCCACAACACATTGTTTCTTACCGACGGTTTATCGTCGCACATATAGGCTAGAATAATATAACTATTCTCCCATAGGATCAGTCAGTCACAGGCACAGGTGGCAAAGAACATCTAAATTGAGGGCTGTCTTGACGTCACCTCCCTTACATGACCGTGAGCAGTTGGTATCTTTTGAGGTGTGTCGCATGACTCAGCATATTTTGTTTTTATACAGCGGTACACCTCACATAATAATTACGCTAATTAAGGTCATGCTTAATTGCTTCCATTATAAATACGCAAATTGTAGCACTAGACGATCGTTTTTACCATGACACATATGAGCCCTAGTGGCTCGTAAAGGATTGGTTTTTTTTTGGTTTTTTTCTGTAGCATGTACATAATAATACATATTATTTAATGCCACAATTTGAAATGTTTGAGTTATTTTTTTCAGACTGCAAGTAAAACAGAAGCTAAGAAGAAATCTGGTGAATGAAACCAAATATCACTGCAACAGCAACAAACACCTTTTTAAATTTCATAATTTTTTGTACTAATGTATGTATATGACTGTTCAGACACACAGTGATATGCTAGACTAGCTTACAACAGCAAAGCTAATCCACAGAAAAACAAGCTAGGGCAAGAACCTTCAGCACTCTCATCTAATACATGCAGATGAGAAGAATTAATGATGGGCATTCCCTGTTCATCGACCAACACAACCTAGACCCAATTTGTTGCATGAATTTGCACATTTGTATTGTAAGTTACCTCACGATTTAATGTGGTGGACAGACTAAAGCTATAGCTTTAACTGGTTTTCCAAGTAGCGAAGACTTGAAGAAAGGGGTGCTGGAAGTTACTGAATGAGATATATCCACACATTGCGCGCCATGAGCGTCAGGTTTTGCGGACACCGTCCTTATACATATATCCATGGTTATTACTATCATTAATGTTTTTACTATTACAGTACTATTTTTTTTAAATTCATTGAAATAAATATTAGACCCTGAATCCTTGTTTGTTTGGCTTTGAACAAGTTGGCTTATATTAAAGAAAGGGATGATGATGAGATTGGGTTTCATCAAAACTTGTATAACTGTTTCAAAACCATTTCTTGCCTAGTTTTTGCATTACCAAGCCAAGTGAGGCGTGGCTGGTGTTTACTAGCTGGCACAGCTAATCTGGTACTTACCACTGACATAAATAACAGAAGCTGGATGGCTTAGCAGGGGGCTTAAGCTTATCCACTGACAAAGTCCAGACAATAATATTTCTTTGTGGTTTAATTTTTCTCAGCTGTACACCGTGTGTCTGAATATACTATATTGATTTTTTAAATGTTAATGTTTCTTGAAAAAAAGGTTTTCGTTAAGCAATTTATGGAAAATACATTTATTTACTTTTTTTGTTATTAATTGTCAAAGTATAGACACAAGAAAAAACAAAGATAAATTGAAATATGTATGTAGGATATTTTTTATCATCTTAGTTAAAAATAAAATGGTGCAAGCCCAAAGAGCTTGAAGAAAATATACTATGCAGGTTTAAATTATGGTAGCTTTTAGAGTTGTAGAATTACCACCTTACAAAAGTAGCTTTTTTATGAGTTGATTATAATTTTTTTTTATTATTCATCTTTTTAAAAAAGTATTAACATCCTGGTCTGTCCATCATTGATTGGCTGTGATGTAGCTTGTAGCAAATTTGCGTTTAGATATAACAGGCTTCTTTGGTCGCTAAATTGTACATCTTTGGCTCTGTTTCTAATGACCACCTCCAAGAACAGTTTGTTTAATTAACAGTTAAATGTTGCCTATTTTATGGCAACAAACTTTGTACTCCAAAAATAAATAGGGTATCAGTCCGTAGTCATGTTTAAATTAAAGCCGGGCACTTCGACGGTCATACAATGAATCCATCTTCACTTTCTGTGCGCACTAGACAACGTGACGCGATCACTTCCTGTGCGCACTAGACAACGTGACGCGATCACTTCCTGTGCGCACTAGACAACGTGACGCGATCACTTCCTGTGCGCACTAGACAACGTGACGCGATCTGCTGATTGTCAGTGCCAACAAAGAGTATACTCTTTGGTGGCAGTCTTAACGTATCGTCTTTAAATGAGGTCCAATGCGCACGCATCTTCGCGTTGCAATATAGAATTGCAAGTCCGTTCAAAACTGGAAGCTTTTAAAGTTTAGTCTATTTTATGGCAACAAACTTTGTACTCCAAAAATAAATAGGGTATCAGTCCGTAGTCATGTTTAAATTAAAGCCGGGCAC